ATCTCCCAATCTCTCTATCTCTCTGCGTGAGAGCAGGAGGAAAGTTGGTGGCCCACGCGGGGGTAATTTGATAGCAGGGGAAGGTCAAGACAGTGCGCTGTCCATGGTGCTGCGTCGGTTCAGCCTGGATGTTATCATCAAATTAGACAAGACAAGTTTCAAATCGATGCCACCCCCCGGATGTCAGGAGAGCGCCAGCAGTAGGAGTTAAAGTCCTAACAAGTCCCCCCTGACAGGTCAACACCCCGACACAAACACACACCTCTGATGCAGCGGCTCGAGCACACAGGTCAGCGGCGCGGCGCGCGCACATAAGCACCAATCCCGATCAACTTGTGGACTGATAAGTGGATTTTTGGATGGCTCGCCTCCTGTAACCAAGTCTTAAGTTTTATTATATTACGGATAATTATGCAAAATGTATAGTAACTACTATTTTGCAATAAGTCTTTAGCAAGAACTGTTATTTCTCATCTAAAACAGGTTGTTACAGGATAAATGTGTAGACGGTAAAATGACACGTCCAGCATATACATTATAACCCAATTTAAGATGTGGGTGCTTTAAAGGATGCATGATACAATCATTATAAAACAAGAAAACATATATTTAATATTTTTAACTCATAGTTTTACTTGGCGACACTCATAAGAAGAGGGTCTGCTAAAAGTTGATTTGGTTTGTGCCTATAAAGGAAAAGGAAAGAGTCTACCAATGCACTGGAAACAGATCCCCAATGATTGACTGGGAGTGAGGAAGAAGAGAGGGAGATGAAGAAGGCACTGATTAGAGGTGCTGCCAGTCTGTCAGCGGCTGACAGCTTCTGCTGCAGGGATAAACAGCAATAAAGTAACGCGTTAACTTCACACACATACACACACACACACACACACACACACACGCACACACACACACACACACGCACAAACACAGGCACGCACACGTGCACGCGCACATGCACGCGTACGCACGCTGTTACGCACAGTGCACCACCAGAGAAGCAGGTAGACCCACTCTTCTCTCTCCGTGTGTCCAAACGGAGCTTCTTTTCATCTTGTCTGCTGACTCAGGTAGCGGACACAATGAGGAGAAAGGAGGCTTTTGAGGGGGACAGAAAAAACGGTATATTTGAAAGTGTCATAAAGAGAACCAAATACACAAGAAAAGCTGCAGGTGATTAAATGACGCAAGGGCATTATTAACTTATTTAACTCGGCAGATTTCCTGAATGAACTTCACTTTAGGGCCTGGCCAAACCATGAAATGCACATCAGAACGTATCTGCCAATCTTCCGCACCTTTATGTATCTTTCCATCTCGCGTCCCCTCTAACCCCTCTGAGCCGAGCTGTCTGTCATGCTGTGGCCCGGCTAATTTGAGTTCATTGGATGGCAATAACTTCATTTAGACGTTCATCTCTTTTTTGGGGGCTGTGCGTAATGAAAACGCAGGGTGCAGCCTCTAAAAGGCCTCTCATCTCGGCAGTAATAACCTGGCTGTTGGATATTCTTACCCTGGCGCACCGGATAGCGTGTTTATCCTCCGAGGGCTGCGTTCACATGATGAAACTCATCTATAATGTGTGCTTTAATATATCGTCTACTGCACCACAGAATTTCTAAAGCTCACAGAAAAAAATAAATTAATAAAGAAAATGAAAAATGAAAAAGAGTGGCTGTTGGAAAAGTTTACTTCTCTAATAAACGTTGGTCCATGCAGTCTTGTTATGGTTATTAATGATTTTTATTTAATTGTGCTTCAAATTATAGAAAATATTTTAAAAGTATGTATTTGGTTGAAGACTCTATGTATTTAAAAGATGCCTATGAACGCGTCAAATAGCCTAATCCATAGCCTACGACTCCATATTGTGCCAAGAAAACAGCACAATATGGAGTAAAGTAAATAACATGTAACTCATATACTTATTAGGGTAAATTATTTAACAAAAAAAAAACAAAAAACATTTAACAATAAAATTGCGTTGTTATATAATTTTGAATCGCGCAGTAAGGATCATTATTCAAGGCAATTATTAACAATCGTGACAATAATAAAAATATTAGTTTTAATTACAGTCCAACTGTTTACTACATTTATGTTTAATGTCAAAGCTCACCGAGGCCTATATTAAAATATATATATTTTTAAATATAGGCTACATTTAAACACTTTCTAAAGGTAAGTGAAATAAATTAATAAATACATAAATTGCGGCCTACAGTAACAAATATTTTAATTTAGGTGGCCTAATCAAATCATATATTTCTTGATGATATAAAGAATGGCCTAAAAGTTTGCAAAAATTCTAAAATTCTAAACCCCAAATGAATGAAACTTAAAAAGAAATAAGTAGTTCCCATAGCCTAATTAACTAAATTATTTTGCATGTAAGGAAAACAAAAATTGTAGTGAAAATCTGTCATTCATTTGTCTTTTTCTGTCATATTAGGCTACAAACTTTGGAAAGAGATTTGGAAATAGACTGTGCTATAAATAAGAGTTTTTATCGAAGAGGCCTGAGCTTAGAGGCCTTAGCCCATACCCAACACAGTTTAAAAACATTTTAGTCACTTTAGCCCTTCGTTTTGTGCCCTTGCCTTCTTCACTTCCCCGAATCATCAGAGAGCGTAGCTTCGGAATCTTAAAAGTCAGAGTCCATTCTTCAAATGTATTGCGTTTCAGAGGCTGTGTTTTACTGCGGGAGTCTCGGGCCAGCGCGGTATCAGAGGAGGTGTAATTGAGGGGGCGGTGAGGGGATAGAGTAGCGCTCCGCCTGAAAGCTGCTATTAAAGCCAAATGGACTGAACACCGTAAAACGGCTCTGCCAACAGCTGTCCCACAATCCAACTATTATATATGCCACGAAGAACACACATACACTAACATATTAGGGCCATACTGCTGATGTAGTGGCTACTTAAAAGTATTAGACAGCGACGGGGAAACTCAAAGCTTGTTCTGGTAATAGTCATATTATAGGCATATTCCTACAGGGACTTGGGTCTGTGTTTTGAGGTAATTGTGGTCTCCAAAGGCATTTTTCACTTCACCACAAGCTCTTCTCTTTTTATTAGAACCTGGGGAGTTGCGTTTTTGCTGGCGTTTCATCTGCATACGGAGTCATAGCCTATATTTTTCTACGGGACACAGGTGGTGGGTCATGGACCCTTGTTTTGGACAAGAAAAACTTGTATTTATCACAACACACATTCTTTTGTTTGAAGACAGATTTGCTTTTATGGTCATTGGAGTGTTACATTTAAAAACATACAGCCATGCGATTCTATATCAGCCCAGGTCCACTCCACCTGAGACCCCTTGCATCTTTGCACCAGTTTTCGCCATGCAAAGACTATTTCCCAAATGTGGTGCTTTGGACACAAAGTGTTTGTGGATCCTTATTAGGGAAAGGGAGATTGAAGAGGAGTTTTTGCCATTGGAATAAATGGCTTTCTCCGAAAGTCAATGAATATGTAATGATGCCTAACCAGCGAGTTATATGCTGTGGTATAAGGGCCTCTCATATTAAAGACTTGGAGCCCTGAGTAAGAAGCCGAGGCAGAGGAAAAAGGAGGCGAGCAAATAAAGAAGGGATACAATGTTGAATACACCATGAGCTTAAAGCGCACATTCTGCCTCAGTCAATGGGGCCAGATGAAAGTATTTGCTCAACGAAAAAAGAAAAGGGAACGAGTTTTAGTGGGGGTAGGGTGCTAATATTTTTTTTCTAACTTTGAGAATATATAGTTTTAAGCAGTTGCGCCAATAATGAACTCATGGAACAAGAGAGTTCCCGGCATAATTTCTTCTCTCTAAGTTTCTTAGTTACACCCGTTAAAACATTGATTGTTGCAGTTAGCTGACCCGTAAAATTTGGGGGTGAGTTTTCTCTTCTTAGCTGAGCATATAATTATGCAAATAGAGATCTGACAGTGATCCTCTGGAGTAGTGTGCGTGCGCGTGAAGGGGCTGTCAGAAGGGTGACATTCCAACTTTGCTTAGTGCCTGTTTCTATTGGGGAGAGTTCATCTTTTGGTGCGTATCAGAGCGCGCCGGTGCAAGCAAGCGTGACGACGATCCTCTTTAGGAAAAAATTAAAATATCAGTGTGTTCCTCTAACTACTTTATACATGTCAAACCCATTCTACCCTCCCTACCAGAATAAATCATTTGATATTACAGCTGGAATCCCGCCCACCCCCAGCGTGCCAGATTTTGCCAAAAGCTCCACCAACGAAGACACGTAAGGAATTAGTGAGTTGATACGCAAAACTGCGTCAACAATATTTCAAAATGAAGCCATGTGAGTGAAATCAATCATCCAATCCTAGAACGCGCGAGGTCCTGCTTTCTTGTTGTGCTCGTTACTCAAATGAGAAAACACATTAATATAAACTGCCTAAGTTTCAACAAAATGCTCCATAAAACTTTTAACTACATTGGGTGGACCGTTTAAGTTAAGTTGGACTGTTTTCTAGGCCTTTAAGTGGATTTTGGTCGCTTGCTGTGCGCCTGTTCACGTGAATAGCTCTTTTAATCAGCAGCCTGACACAGAGCAAGGAGGACTCGGATGGTTGCACTTGTTGTTTAGAAGTTGTTGGTGAAGATTTCTAAAGATTTATTGAGGGGGCGTTTAATGACCTGATCATTTTGAGCACGTGAATACAAACGGTGCAGTAAAACCTTTGCGTAATGGATGGGTGCGTACCCTCGCAAAATTAATGATCAAAATATAAGTTAGAGCTTTTGATTGGTTGTTTTCGCTATTCAAATTTTCTTGCAATATCCTCTAAATAAGAAAACCTGTATCTGCAGGTTTCAGTTCATTATAATATATTTTATTGATAAGGTAGAATCTTTCAAACTTTCAACGGGAGTAGGACTTTCATGGCCCTTATAAAACATCTTTCTTGTTTCACTTGTCTATCAAAAAGCAAAGCATATCTCTTAAAATGTATTTCATAATTAAACCATGTAGTTTAATAGGCAAAACTCAGTTTCAGGTTTCCAAGTTCTTTAATAGTTTGAGCAAACTAAAAGACAGCATTAGAAGGCTTTCAAACAAATCTTTCATTTAAAAAATAACAAAAATCTATGGAAATATTTGCACATAACCAAATCTGATATATAATGTCTAATGCTAAAAAAAGCCTTTCTTTTTTTCCCTTTTTTTTCTTTTTTTAATTTAGTGCATCATATAAAGCATCTACCAATGAAACATCTTCAGCTCTTTTGTGCTTCAGATTTTGGTTGCTCTTACATCTTTAATTCCACTCACATATGGCTTGCTGGTTATTATTAAAAACAGTGAGCTGTGTGTTGTTTATTCCTAAGGCAACAATATACAAATTACAGCAGGAAAAATGAACCGATCGCAGGTTCATAGCTAAAAAGCTGAAAGATGAGCAATGGTATCTACAAACAAAACTCATCAAATCAAATAATAAGCTACTGTCTTTGCTCAAACCTGGAGAGATCCGAATCAAATTAAAAGGAAATTAGGCCCACAACCATCAGCCACAGTTGTCTCATTACAGCGGAAAGATAATCCACAAAAGCCTTAAACCATACACACAGTGGGCAGCAGAGGCACAGGCACGCAGTGGAAAAAGTTAAACAAGGAACTATTTGAAGTGCATACATATTTGAGAATGTGTCTTAGGTATCACAAGATTTACTATCCAGTTGGAGATTTACAAATGTCATGAAATATAGTCTATTTAGCCTTGAGTGTTTCATTAAACTGCTTGGTGGAAAAAGTGTGTTTGTGTCACAAAGTCAGACTATGAGCTGAGCTTTACTTTGTCAGGTCTAAATGAAAGAAAAGAAGGGGAGAATAGATATGTTATACTTATACAGCATCTAAGGAAATATCACTCAGGCTTAGAATAATATAGAGATCTTGGATTTCCTGACATGTGTAAGGCGATATAAGGGGATTTATGAGGGCTGTGAGCTGACTTCTGGCTCCTGTAAAAATGAGATATCTCTCATAGCTATTTTGATGCTTGACTTTAAGTGATTTTAAATATGCTTCATGCTTGTGATGTTTTCAGATTCAGCACAGGACGGGCTTGTTTTATTTGTTTCATCACATTCAATAATCCCCACACATCAATAACACAGAGAGCAAATTGAAGAAATACATATATTATCAATCCAAGAAAGATGGACATTCACATTCTATACTTTAAAATAGGACAGTAAAATAAATCATAGGTGTATGGGATTACCTTGTGAAAGAATTGCATTTGAAGTTTGCATATGTGAATAAAAAAAAACAAAAACACACACACACACACACACTTTTCATCTTATTTTGTCATATAAGAAAGTTATAAAATCACAAATTGAGGAGATTAAGTAAAAAGTATAAATAGTGGTGTGGTAAAACATCACTTGACAAAAAAAAAACAAAAAAAAATTATATTATAAATTTGTTTTTGTGATCTTTAGGCAGTAGAAAACAGATCCTTTCATAGCAGTACTATATGAACCATTTGTGAAGATAAGGACATTGATTTTGTACACCTTAGAATAGGATTTTAAAATATACAAAGATGCATCAGAATAATTAAAACAATAAAATAATGTTGGAAAAATTTTGATTAAAAAACAAACAACCTTTTTAAATTAAATTGTGTTTAATAAGTCAGATGCCCTTGAAATATGATAATGGTGTATTTGCAAAAGTAGTAAAAACTAAAATTTGTTGGGTGTTGATATGGGAACAGAACGCATCAGCATCAACAGATCTCCTTGAGGACCAGGCGTTAGGACCAGGCGTTAGGACCAGGAGGATGGTGGGAGTATTTGAGACGGAGGGCATGGAGGCCATTAGCTCAGTTCAGTGTGATGTCAGGACAATTAGAGGAGCAGCCCGCGCACAGGGCACAGCGCCTGTCAGCCTTAATCTCTGCTGCGCCGGTCCACAGACGCAGCTAGGCCACAGCCCACGGGAAGCACTAACACTTCAGGTTCATATTGCTTTGACAGTAGCACTCATCTAGAAGTAATGCAAAACGTTATTGTGATTTATACATGATGTACTCTTTGCTCTCACATCAGCAACATATAATGTGCTTGGAGTCAGGGCGACATTCATGGAAAATAGAGAGGTTATAGGAAAGCATAGAAATGTAAGGTGTATTTCTTTGTTAAATCTTAATCCAATACCAAGCCCTCCCAGTCCATTGTTGTTGATCTTCTATAAATCCTGGTGTTTGCTTTTGTGAGATCCGCTGCGTGTGGTAACTATGTTGGAGGTCTCCTGTGCCTCTTCGTACTCCTGCGCCTCTAGGAGCTCATTGAAGAAGCGAAAGATGGAGTCAAAACTGTTCCAAGAAGTCAACTCGTGCTTCTCTGTGCCTATGGAACACAACCACAAAAACACAATGTTAGCAAGACTAAATAGATAGAATTTATTGAACAATCCTTCTAATAATAATATCACCATTACTGCCATTACTGCCATTACTGCTAGTGCTATACATGATTCTCATTCAACACTTGAGAGCTGAAATCTTGGAAACTGTAGCATAGAATTAACTACATTTTGCTTTTGTGTACTACAGAGCATCCCTTGAGGTTTTACACTGCACCATGCAAACCACAGGAATCATGAGAGCCATCAGGGCCTCTGACCCATCAGCCCAATGGGAAGACTTTAATATGTTATCCAAGCGGATACCTGAAAATTAACACCAACGCATGGCCGTCTTTCCATTTCAGAGCTTCGAACAAAACCAGAGTTATGCACAATAGGCTCCCTAAGCAAAACCAGTCGAGCGGTAGTCATTCATTCTAAAGGGCTGATTGAGGAAAGTGAAGACAGAGCTGGGGAGAGGCTGCAGCGGGCGGGCGGGCGTATCAGGTGGTCTGACAGTGGTACACAGGAGGCAGGAGTGCTAGGTTTCCCTGTGACCTCCTCCGGGTTAGCTTGTTCCCAAGTTGGGGTCACATAGGAGCTTGAAATCTGGTACATTCTCCTCAGGTTCCTGTGCATCAGAGGTTAGCGTATCACTGGGCAGCGCTTTGGTTGGATAGGTTGCACACTCAAAGACCGTTTTTATGTTCACCCATGGTGCCAGCTAACCACTGTGCCACTGAACACCTTGCCAGTCATTGGACAGTTTTTGATAAGGATGCTTGGGGCTAGAGCTTGTCCATGCACCATAACCAATCTGTAAAATGCTAACAGATAACGTCTTTAGCTTTGGCTATCATCTCAGACACTTGGCAAGACCAGTAAAGAAGCCAAACCAAGAAACCTTCATGCTTTCTAAAAGTGTTGCAGGGCTGATACAAGATAGGAGTTTAAGATAGAGCTGTACCAATAGAAGGATACGCAAACCATATACCAGATAAAATCCTCGGAGCCATACCATGTTGTTACAGCTTGTGATTTGGACAGCATTTATAGCAGATAAAGTTATTCACCTGTCCTTTTGGATTCTACTATCTGAGGCCACAGCAGCAATCTCACAACATCTGTACTGATTTGGCATATTGGTTTTCACTTTTATACCTGATGCCCTCCCTGACAGAAATGTCTATTTATGTGGGCATGGGTCTGTCACAAGTAGTAATCTGACTTTTGTTTTCAAGTAGGAGAAATTGTACACAGATATTTATAAAGCATTAAATAAAGTATTAAAATAACCAATTTAGCATGATCAACAGTACATTTTAGTGCATTTTGATAGACACTGCTACTAAATAAAACATGACCTTTACCATAGGGCCTTTTAGAACTAGACCCAGACTTTTATTCAGTGGATTTTCCTTCCTTCCTCCTTTTCTCTCTCTCTCCCTTCGGCGTATGTGGTGCTGGCTATAAAAAGATAGACTAGAAGGCCACAGGGATACAATTAGGAAGCACCTTAGAGGGTCTGCTGCCATAGTCGGGCCTCGGCTGACCAGCGAACTGACCCTATGTTTATTAGATTGACCCCTGCCTGAGCGCATTAATGGAGATAGTGTGTTTCAGTGGAGGATTGTGGCTAATGTTGCTTTTTTGGTCGATGTGTGTAGAGCCATGTTTGTGTTTGTGTGCGTGTCATTTGTGTGTACATGTATGTATGTAAGGACGGATTTCGATCATGGGAAGATAAGGGCCCTTTTTCTTGACGCTATAAAGCCAATAGACTTCTCCTATGCGCCTTGGGTCAAATTTACTGGCCTGGCAATCACAGGAGTCAATAACCCTGCACTCCTGGTAACCGTGCTACCTGTGTCAAGCTCAACATAACACCCTTTCTTGGGAAACAAAGACACAGCCCTCTCAGACCTCTAATCTATCATTTATATCCAATTTGAGGCGGTGCTGATCCTTTTTCCACCTCCTCCTCCTTCATATACTCTCCCTTCCCTTTCACCTCATCAGACTCTCACTTAAGTTTTTTTACTTGTATTTTCTTGCCCTGTTTTTCTCTCTCTTGCAGAAAGCGATCAATGCTGCAGTGCTCCGCTGTTCACCCTGAACTGGCGGTGAACTTCTCCGGAGTGCCGCCAGCCTCTCTCCGCTCTCTCCACCCCACTATCCCATCTCCCATCGCGGTTCGGGGTCACCAGGGGGGCGTCTCTGTGCCAATATGTAAATGAGTCTGTGGCCCTGCAATGACTCGGATGTGAAGCTCCGCCTATCTCTGTGCTGTGGATGCTTTTGCGTAAAAAAAAAGTAAAAGGCGTTATTCCCCCCTTACATACATTCACACTCATACACTGCTTGCACTCTCCCTCTAAACAGGCCCTTAACAGCCATACGTCCTCCCCACCCGTTAATAGCCAAAGTGTGCTGAACCTAATGGAGGTTGTCAAAGCTAAGAGCGCTGATTTAGAGGGAGAAGATCCAATGACCAGGTTTCACTAGGCACTAAAGGCGAAAAGAGAAAGGGCGAGAGAGCATTACCTCAGCTGTGCCACAAATCAAAGTAATATCTTTAAAAGATGCTACGATCGATGGGGTGACTTCTGGCTCCGTCTTGCGTGTAAAGTGAAACCATTAACAGGCCATGAGTACTACTTTATCCACAGTTTAGCTAAATGGACTAAAACAAACGTAAATTCTATGTTTATATTATTAAGTACTGTTACTGTATAATATTACTCAAACTGAAGTTAAGTCAAGCAAAGTGATACTTAACTAATGGTCAATGTGCATTTCATTCCTATAGCACATCGACTAACTAATCAACTAACATAAGTGTACATAAAATACAAATGAAAACAGATCTGATTTAAGGTAAGAGGTAGTGCTATGCTACTGACAACACTATCACACCTGCTAAAAGTACATTTTTACTCTGACTATAATACCACAAAGTAAAACTGATCACTGATTACAGTACTCCAGCTATGTCTACTACAAACCAACATTACTATACTACTACATACAGTGCCAACACCATAACCCCTATCTATTTAGTTTTTATCTTACTTCTCTTTACTACCAAGGTCAGCAGTAATTGTACTTGTTTAGAGCAACTTAACTTTAATGCATTTTTTACAGTGCACTTTTGGTAATTGTGATCCATTAGAATTTTAAATAAAGCAAGCACTCAAGGCCTATTGTGTGTGTGTATTTCTTGTAAATTATCCTGTGTTAATTTTAATGCAATCACTGTAATTTCATTAATGCAATCAACTATAACAGAATTATGTTTCAGATTTATTGCAATAATATTATTATTGTAAGCTCCATAACACTGAATATTGTCCTGGGAAATAATAAATATAAAAAAATAAAATCATACTAATAGTGTGGTTAACGGTGAACAATTAAAGCAAAGGGGCCTGTAATAGCTGGCACGTGCACACATGTCGATAGTAATATATCAGTGGAAAGTAGCAGGATGAGTAGTGAAAGCTCCCCTTCTGTGGCTGTCCTGCCCCTCACCTCTGGCCTGTGCTTGACCACTGTGTGTAGTCTGTCTGCACAGCGCCTCATCATGTGACAGGGTCCAGACCATTTGATCCTGTGCCTCTCCGTCATAGCCACTGGAGCGCCTTTCAAGCTAATTGGGCTGTTTGAGATGATGTACATTTCAATAGTTTTTGAAAGCTTATGAGTAAAGGTAAAAAGAAGTCTGTACACGTAGTCAGTGTGCCTTATTCGACACTTATTTGAATGTATTATTACTATTCATATTTTTGCTTTTTAATAGAATAATATATAGTCAAGTGTGAGCTATGTGTCCAAATAATTTCCCTTGTGAATCAAACAAGTCTAAATATGTACTTAGGCTAAAGAATGTTTACAATAAAACAATATATCGAAGGCAAAACAAATGTACAAAGTATTATTATTCACTATTAGCATCACAACTTCTAAGGGTATAAACACTTTTTGACAGTGACTGTTATTATAAGAAAACCTTGATATGTCCCACAAAGGGGAGACTGCAATAATTTCTTATTAAAGCAAAAATCTTAAATAAAAAAGTAAAATTTCATTAAGTCAATATCTTTTCACATCTCTACAATACACCACAATGGATATTAAATTACTGCAACACTTATCTTCCCTTTGCCAACAAGGTCAAAAGAGGCTTCTGTTTAGATAAAATACTGGTGAAAATGTTCAACTTCAAATCCAAGAAAATTAACACTTTTTACCATGAGATACCTGAGTAAAAGTATCAAGTTACTTCCCACCAGAGCAGGTAACACAAGTGTATGCAAAAACAAACTCAAAATGTCCCCCAGCTGCACCACTGTAGTTGTTTTATCAAAGGAGCAGCAGAGTTTGAAGACAAAGGAAACATGGAAAATCCTGCATAGCTATGGGCCATGCTTTCTTCCCTGTGCACCAAACACGACATGGTGTTACAAATGGTAATCACCTCTGATTGTCACAAATTTCCAAACAAACGATAGGTGACTGTACCGCCAAAGTGAAGCCTCGAGTGATACTCCGACAGAAAGCTTAAATCAAAGCATGCTGTCTATAATTAGCTTCCATCTGGGCTACATTATTTAAAGCCTCACCAGTTAATTGCTTGTGTACAAATGGCCTATTTTACTTGAATCAAACTCTTCTTTTGCGTTTTCATAATTATACTGATGTGAGAGGGGCATATTTCTTCACTTCATTTATAACACAAATACATGCTCAAATTTTTAAGAGGACTCCAAGGCAAGAAAGTGTACAATTATGATACTTTTAGTGCAAATGGAATTACATGAAACAATGACGCGAGTGCTTAATCAAATATAGTGACATTTGGGTTAAACATTTAATGAGCTTCAATTTTGAAAAAGCGATATCATCAGAATGTGATCAGTGCAAAAACAGACTACATCTCAGAGCTAATATGCATGATATTATTGCTTGTGGATGTAAACATTTTCTAATTTCCTCTTGTCAA